ACTACGTGTGGGCAGGTGTCTAGAGGCAACTCCTGCCAGGTTTAAGTTGGTGCGGAGCCCCGTCAGTGCGAGCGATAATTGGCCGGGGGTGGAGGGGGGGGGGGGGGGGGGGCGCAGGAGACGGTCACTGTATTGATGAACAGGAGGCTTCAGGAGATTAGAGGTTACGCCGGTTGCATAAGGCGATGAGAAACGACGGCGCAAACCGGTGAATGGGAGTTGGGTCTTCATTATTGGACCGGGTGACCGCGATCCAGGTGCCAGTGCCTACACCATCATGTGAGCGTTGTGGCCAAAGTGGAGCCAGTGAACGGACGAGTCGCTAGACAGCTCACTCGAGCCTTTTCTATCCCAGTGTCAATCCACGTCTTCCTGGAGTACTAAACATCTGTTTATGAGGCAGTAAAGGTGTTGTGAAGTAGCAGGAGTAAGGTACGGAGCTCATCAGATACGGGATTATGAAGAAGATGATGCGACCATGTATCTTATCTGAGTATGAAACGTTTGTTTGCACCGTTGCTGTTGTGACATTTTCGTGTTGACGGGCCTGCACTGTTTTCATGAAAAGAGCCGAGTCGTGATGTAGCTCACGTGATTTAACAGCATGTGCTAAACACCCGCTGAGCCTGTTCATGCGGGTGGAAACAGGGCTCGCGGCCAAACAATCAATGGCTGATCTGGCTGGTGCCGTGCGAACAACGGTCGTAGGCGAATAACGCCGGCGGAAGCTGGCGGGGCAGGGTGCTGTGATGGGGTCAAATGAGAAATGCCGAAGTTGTGCTGATGCCGGGTGTTGAAGCATTGCTTAGGTTGTGCTCACGTAGCCTCCGCCGGCCGACTGCCTCCCAGTCGTGTTGTAGCGATACCAGGAGAGGTTATGTAATCTCTGCTTGTGGTTCGCGTGCATGAAGCTCGGTGCAAGAAACTTGCCTTCTGATGCTGTGTCTGCACTGAATGATTACTGATAACGGTTTTGGCCAAGCGTGGTTATTCACTGAGTCGGAGATATACATCTGATGGTGGCTTAGGAGCCACGCCAGCATTCTTCACCCGTTTTGATGTAAGTATGACGATGTCAATCGCGGCAGTAGCGCTTTTGTTTGTTCTGAGGCTTGGATAATAATGATGCCCACCATCGTGTGAAACGCCATGGATTACTGCCAGTTTAATTCTCAAGGAGAAATCAGCCGTGTTGTTGCTATGAGACTTTCAAGACTTTCGAGTTTTTGCCTGCATGGGTATGCTGTTCCGGACTGCATGGATACGCGGCGGTGCAGTAGGATCACAAGCAGCGCCTGCAGCCTTTCCAATACACCCATATTTGGGGTATCCATCTATCGAGGGGATTATTCTCCGAACCATCAATATCTGTAGTATTCCATGAATGTCATGACAGACGTTCTTAGATTGTTCTAAGCTTACGATCGGTGGTAAATATTCAGTGAAGTAAGAATACGAGACAAAGCGGCTTCGGAGAACTATAAATAATAAATCCAACCGACCCGTAACATCATGGCGCCTGTCCGGACTTTGTTTCTGAAGCGGAGCCTAGAAAAAAACGAGTGACCAGTCTTCCAGAGAAGACGATCGCCGTCCAGTGATGATAGCCTTCCTCACCAACAAGTCGCCGGATGACGCAACATCGGCGCTGTAAATCAAGTGGCTAACCTCTGGACACTAACGGTTTTCTCTAAACGAGCGGTCTGAAAGCACTTCGTTTCACGCCGCCAAACCCAGTTAGTCAACAAACACAGGCGCTGGAGGCGTCTTGGCCGCAGCGGTCGTCCCCGTCTGCATCGAAGTGCTGTCATTTCAAAATACATGAGCCGACAGGAATAGCAACAAGCAGTCACGCTCCGCTGTCATCGCTCACAGCGGTTAGCGTTGGCATAACGCTCCGGTGATCTGTTTTGCTAGCCCGCCGTTCATAAATCGATCAGCGTGCGCTGTGACGTCATAAGTTATTCTTGCGTTGGAGGTGGGACTAGCTTACTTGATGAAGTGGGAGGGCGTCGAGGTCGCATCCATATATATTTAATTTTGGTTTTTGTTTGGCCGTGATGAATGACGCATAGTTTGGCCTAATTGCTGGGTGAGATAATGAAGCTGCTATTGCTCTATTTTGGCGGAGGCAGCTGAGGTGGATCTAGGAGAGGTACAAACGGGGCTTCGAACTGGTCAGGGTTTTTACGGGATCAAGGCCACACAGTTCGCCTTTCTCTAAACAGTTGGCGCTCAAAAGTAATTTGAACAAAATTCTAGAAAAATAGCGTCGGAAACATAAACGTGATCCCTCAAAGCTATACCCGGAAGTAGTGTGACTGGATCAGCCTTTAGCTCCTTGGTTTTGTCTTCTCCTGAATCTACCGCTGATAGGAGGTCCGTTTGGTAGCCGTAAAAACGTTTGCAAATTTGGGCCTGGAGAAGTTATGGCCATGGGAGGGGATGATATGCATTGCACCACTTTGGGCTGGCCGGAGCCTGACCTCTGCCCTGACTCCACTGACCCCAGAGGAGACAAGTGTCTTGCTTCGTGCCGAGATTCTCTTCTCTCGTGCAGGATCCAACCAGCGCGTGCTGCCACCTGTTCACAATTTTTGGACATGTTACATGTTCGTTCACATAACTGATCACCGGGTTCTTCCACATCATTTATCACCGGGTTTTGTTGGCTGCTGCTGCTTTGTTGGCCACTGCTGCGCGGCTGCCGCCAATTTTTCAGCCGTCACCACATCACCAAAGGCATCACCATCGCCCAGTCTGTTCTCCTCAGTTCACCATCGCCCAGTCTGTTCTCCTCAGTTCACCATCGCCCAGTCTGTTCTCCTCAGTTCTCCGGTTGTTTACTTGTCTTGTCTGTTGAAATTGCGCTCATCTGCAGCCTGAAGCATTTAAAACTTCATACCTCACCAGTCTCTCACCTATCCGGTACCCACTCCAGACCCCGGACCGACTACTCACTTCTTTTTCTTCCATCCCGCTCACTTTGCTTTCAGTTGCCTTGCACTTCCCCACCCATTCCACGCTCTTGTCTCGCTGAGCATCCACTCAGCCTTTGTCATCCTCACTCATCGTGCACTCCGCTCTCCCTATTTCACTGCCGACCTCTTCGATGTATCACTGATTTCACTCTTACGTACACCTCCTTGATCTATTTGCTATTCAGCGCTCCCCTCGATACTCTCTTAATCGTCCCTTCCAATCTTCCACGCATTTTTCGCGACTTTGTTGCATATCCCTCAATAATCTCGTGCTCAACTTTCTAAAACTCATTCTGATACATCCTCTTCGGCCACGACCTGAATTCACGCATGACAAATCATTATAGCGCAATACTTTCTCACGAATCTCTCACCAGCCCTCACTTATGACCATTCCTTATCCATTCCCCGTCCATTCGTCACCCGTCCCTTCTCCACTCGTCACCCGTCCCTCATCCATCCCTCATCCTTCCCTCCCCCACCCCCGCTCGTCCTCACCCATCCTCCCCATCCCCGCGCCTCCGATCACCCTTCCGGCCACTCGGCGCGAGCCGGCGGTCGTCGGTTTCGACGCGAGCCGGCGGCCGTCGGTTTCGGCGCGAGCCGGCGGCCGCCGATTATTTGCGCCTATCGATCAGCCGAGGTGGGCCGACGCGCGCCGTCGGACGCTCGAGAGATGGCCCCCGCCACGTTCTCGCCGACGACGACATCGACGAGGCGCAGGGGGGCAGCGCTGAGCCACGCGGGAGCGGGCCGACCGCTGACGTCCGGACTAGGGGTATGGGAGGCGAGGACGCCGGCTGTAGAGCGGTCTGCCTGCCCAACGTTCGTACTCGGTTACTCTGTTTTTCTTCGTTCTCCGCGTTCTTCTATTTTTGCTCTTCTTATTTGCACACAAAACACGGCGATCGCATCTCGCGATGTCGCGATCGTATACCCTCTTGTGATGTTATACGATCTGAAATCTTACCATGCGTTGTTGGGTATTGGGTTCCTGAGTGATGGGTGGCGTATAATGAATGTCATCATCTGTATGTCTACTGTAGCTTAGCTACGTCATTGCCATAGCAGGGACGGGAAAAGACTTGCAAAATTATTCATGTTTTGACCGCAATGCTTCTGAACTTTTGACCGTAAAGCTTTGGCTTTGACTTTTTAAACGATCTAGGTTGAAGAATCAAGCCTTTGGAGGATTCACTGTCAATCACTGCGAGTCATGTCACGAATCGTAGCCCCACCATTTAGAGCTGCAGCTATACACGCCCTGAAGGGAGCAGCTACTGCGGACCTGCAGTTTTACGCTGTCCTGAAGACTGGTGCGGGCTCGACCGAAGACCAGTGCGGATCGCGCCGTTTTCAAGCAGCGATGCCCGGGACCGCCGCGCCGGCGTTGCCGACGCGGGGCGTGTCAGAGCCGTGTCAGTGTCGTGTCAGAGCCGTGTCAGTAGGCAGTCGGACATGCGGACAGACGAGCTGCGGCGGACCCGACCGTCGGCCGCTGATGGGATTACGGTGTTTTTGCCGGACGGGCGCCCTTCGGCCCGAGCTTTCGTCTATCGGCAGCGGGCGGCGCAGTCGCTCGTCGTCCCCCTCCCCCTCCCCCCTCCAGCGCGGCCGGCACTGCGCCAGGCGAAACTGAGGCGACGTGGGGCAACCCGGCACACATGCCTGACCTTAGCAACCAGCTGCAGTGGACGGTGGTCATACACGGCACGCCGCGTCGTGCTGGAACTTTGATGAAGCTGTTCTGCCCTTCTCCCCCCCCCCGCAACCTGGGTGTTCCCCTATTTCCAGATCTATGGTGGCACAGTTATAAGTCTTCCAACTGCTGTGACGCACGTCCCTGCCCCCCGCCCCTCCCTTTGTTTCTAAGCAGCCCAGTCCGCCTGTCAGCTCCCCTGCGCCGCCAGCGTGTTCCAAGTGTCGGCTGAAGATGAGGCCGGCGCTGGCGGGGCTGGCTCCCGTCTGACGCTGCTGTCATGGCTCCCGTCTGACACCGCTGTCACGGCCTCGTTTCAGACGGAGATTGCCAAACGACTGAACGCCATTCTGGCCCAGGTGATGCCCTTCCTGTCTCAAGAGGTGAGTCGCTGGGGTCGGGCTGATCATGTGAGTCGCTAGGGTCGGGCTGATCATGTGAGTCACTGCAGCTGGGCTGATCATGCGAGTCGCTGAGGTCGGGCTGGTCATGTGAGTCGCTAGGGTCGGGCTGATCATGTGAGTCGCTGGGGTCGGGATGATCATGCAATTCGCTGGGGTTGGAATGATCATGTGAGTCACTGCAGCTGGGCTGATCATGCGAGTCGCTGAGGTCGGGCTGGTCATGTGAGTCGCTAGGTTCAGGCTGATTAAGTGAGTCGCTGAGGTCGGGATGATCATGTGAGTCGCTAGGGTCGGGCTGATCATGTGAGTCGCTGGGGTCGGGATGATCATGTGGGTCGCTGGGGTCGGGATGATCATGCGAGTCGCTGAGGTCGGGCTGGTCATGTGAGTCGCTAGGTTCGGGCTGATCATGTGAGTCGCTGAGGTCGGGATGATCATGTGAGTCGCTAGGGTCGGGCTGATCATGTGAGTCGCTGGGGCCGGGCTGATCATGTGAGTCGCTGCAGCTGGGCTGATCATGCGAGTCGGACATTGACTTCATTGACTTCATTTGTCGTCCGCCTCATGAAGTACCCATTGACACGCAAGTAGCTGCTAGGGCCGACAGTGCAGGCTCGCCATGGTGGAAGTAAAACCAGTAAACGGTGTTTTTCTGGTGGAGAAGGTGGGGATGGAATCAGACTTGATCCTCCGAGGGTCCCCAGACAAACCCCTGAATACCCGGGAAAGTGCTCCGCGCTGGTCGAGATTTACTTTCCAAAAACATTGGATAACTTGCGCATTGTCTCTTCCAATGCAGTGCAAATGCCAACTCGAGCTCGGCTGGCGGCTTGATCCGGGCTTCCCTCTATCTCAAAGCCTTGGATTCAATACACATTGACTGTCAAATCTTGCCTGCACAATATCTCGCCATTCTAGTGTTTTTGTGCCTTATACTTTACGAATGATTGCCCTCCCCCTTCCTTGAAATCGGTCCGATCAAAGCTGGGCTGGTGCCATTTCCAGGACGGAGTTACGCAGTACCCCAGTAGGCATATCCCTTACCTTCTACCGAACAGTTTCCCTGTCCCAATTCAGTTCAAACAGATTTTGAAGACTCGCTAGTCTCTCTAGTCAAGTGGAACCGGGTCACGACGCAGCGGGTCATTCAGGCTCATCAGCTCAGGTGACAGCCAAGACTCGGCGCCGGGTGACATGAGGACTGGCTCGGGACGGGTGACATGAGAACAGACCGAGGCCGGGGTGACATGAGGTCAGGCTCGGCCGGACGACATGAGGACAGGCTCTGGTCCGGTTGACATAAGGACAGGCTCGGGCCAGGGTTACACGAGGACAGACTCAGGGAGACTGCCCCCCCCCCCCCCTGCCACCGTCGCGTTACACAGTGGCGCCGTCCGCTATCGCGCCATCCGAACTGCTCGCGGGCCCGCCCGCCGCTCTGAATGTTTTATGACGCGTGCCACGGCCAGGGCTATCAGCGTCACAAGTGGTCAGGGGGGACATGACAGCCACGTCCGAGTCCTGCGCCCCGTCAGAGGGGACATGACAGCCACGTCCGAGTCTTACGCCCGGTCAGAGGGGACATGACAGCCACGTCCGAGTCCTGCGCCCGGTCAGAGGGGACATGGCAGCCACGTCCGAGTCCTACGCCCGGTCAGAGGGGACATGACAGCCACGTCCGAGTCCTGCGCCCGGTCAGGGCGGACATGACGGCCACGTCCGAGTCCTACGCCCTGTCAGAGGGGACATGACAGCCACGTCCGAGTCCTACGCCCGGTCAGAGGGGACATGACAGCCACGTCCGAGTTCTGCACCCGGTCAGAGGGGACATGACAGCCACGTCCGAGTCCTACGCCCGGTCAGAGGGGACATGACAGCCACGTCCGAGTCCTGCGCCCAGTCAGAGGGGACATGACAGCCACGTCCGAGTCCTGCGCCCGGTCAGAGGGGACATGACGGCCACGTCCGAGTCCTACGCCCTGTCAGAGGGGACATGACAGCCACGTCCGAGTCCTACGCCCGGTCAGAGGGGACATGACAGCCACGTCCGAGTTCTGCATCCGGTCAGAGGGGACATGACAGCCACGTCCGAGTCCTGCACCCGGTCAGAGGGGACATGACAGCCACGTCCAAGTCCTACGCCCGGTCAGAGGGGAGATGACAGCCACGTCCGAGTCCCGCGCCGGACTGGAAATCGGTGTTATGTCCGAGCTCCCGGCTGCAGCCGAAATTATTGTTTGTCGAAATTTGGAGCGCCATCCGAAATCGCTGCTGAACGTGTTTTCAGAAATTTGACGCGTCCTGATGTGTGTGAAGTGTGGCCATCACCGCACCATGTTCAGTGGTTCACCTGTCATCTGTATGGCAGTCTGATGACTCATGTATCCCATAATAGCGCCGGCGATGGTACACGAACTGATGGCGTCATATGGACTCCAGTGATTCGATGATTTGGCGACAGGAAATAGTCTCACCCTCCCCCCCAACACACACACATACACACACGGGTGGTGCAAAGGCCACGGATCACGTTGATGGTGCTACAAAGCTCTCCTTACATGAAGCAAGGCTAATTAACGTAAAACTCGGGTATGGTGACGGACAGCGGCGACTCACTCCTATTTCTCTCACTCGTTCGCCTTTCTTGTTTTTTTTTTCCGGCACCGTCGGCTAAGGTAATCTCAAAACATGTAGCCTAATTGTCCGGCTATACACTCAATGTGCCTCCTATGACGTGGCACGAGCGCAAGCTATTCATGTTGTGCACAAGGCGCACAATATGTTGCTGACATTTTGCTATTAAACTATGATGAAATGAGTGAGACAGTGACAGCCACAAAAAGCGGAGCATCTACAGATTTCAAGTAATACAGTGCGACTCGTATGGCGTCATATGACGTCACGTGACATGATGCGACTCGTGAGATGTCACGTGACCCTGTGTGACGTCATGAAGCTGGTGTGACGCGTCGCCTCGGTTCGGCAGCACCAGCAGCAGGTGGCGTCGGCGGTGGAGCGAGCCAAGCAGGTCACCATGGCCGAGCTGACCCAGATCATCGGGGTAAGCAGCACCCACGTGACCCCGCACCCACACAGTCCGGGGACGATGAGCCTGCGCAGCTGTGTAGCACATGTTCTCGTACTGGGTGCGGCCGCTCATTTCGCTGGGGTCTAGCTGTCGCTTGGTGTGGGCTACAGGAATAAAAAGGACTTAAAAGAAATATAGTTATAGAGCGTGGTCTTCTTAAAATGGGTTGGACCGGACTTTAAAGGATGTGCGGAGGGCTTGGGGCAATGAGCGTCAAATGGCATCTGTTAATTTGCATGAATTTATCAGCGTCCAGAAAAGGATTGTTGTTGCGCGCAGCAGGGACTGTCTGTGTTCGCGTGCAATGCGACGGCGTTCCTTTCATTGTGCACGTCCTGCCTTCCACCTCTTGCCCGGCCTCGGTTGTGAAGGCGACCAGAAAAAGGCGATCGGGGGTCAGGGGGGGGGGGGGCCTGTTGCCGCGCCTGAGACTGAGGCCAGGGCCGAAGAGGGCCACCCACACGGCCCGTACCAGGGGCGCACCAAGAAGAAGCTCTCGCCCTCGCTGTGCAGCAGTGAGGACAAAATGCCCAGGGGGGCCTGATATCTCGTGGCGCTTGCCGACAGGCAACGGGTGATAAAGGGGAGTGGTGACTCACGTATGCGTTTTTTTCCGAACCACTCTTTCGACACAGCTTTTGGTAACTTTTTCTGGTAACAAAGCTTCGCCCTACCTTTTAATCTAGCTCCTCTTCACTGTCCTCTAAAAGTTAGGCTCCGCACCTCAAGCTTCATACGTTTTTAAAAGCCAGGACCACCCCAGCTTGGAGCGCTTCTGCCTGTTGCTAGATGTCTTGTCAAAGGAAACGTCCAAACACTGGTCGAGTAGCCAGAATTGCCACGGAGGCGATAAAGACATACACCAGCTGTTTGCGCTGATATTGAGTTTGGCACTGCGCTGCAAGGGGGCTGGTGGCTTTGATCGTCAATTGCCCGCAGCTCCTGGATGGCTTGTTTATTCAGTTCAGATTGAATTGGCCTCCAACAAGGTCTGTATTATGTAGCGCTTGTTTCACTGCCCGATTGCAAGAGAGCCTGTTCGTCTTCCGTAAATTTAGCTCACACTAACAGCCGCCGCGCGTGCCCACCCAATCAGCGCGTCGGCCCTCGTCGGGCTTCTGCTTCGGCGCGGCGGCGGCAGCCTCGACACGTTGTAGTGGCTTTTAATCATCTCCGCGTCATTAGCGGCCGGGTGCGGCGCCCGCCGGCCCGGCCGGCCCGGCGCCGCAGTCGGGCCGGGCCCGATCGATGCCGTACCTTCAGCTCTAATCACCGTCAACATGTTTTTCCGGTATCTGGTGCGGCGCTAATCATATATGCATTGTCGTCTGCACGCCGCCCGACGGCGAAAACACGTGCCGTGCGCTCGTGGCGCGCCGCGTAATTCAGACGCGTTAGGCGGCGGCGGATCGATGCAGGCGCCGCCGCGGCCGAGTTACGGCGCCCGCTGCCGAATGCCGGTCCTTTGTTTGAGGGCCGCGTGTGACGCGTGCGCCGCCACTGCCGCTACCGATCGGGCAAATCAGGGCGGACTGCGGCCGCTCGTGAACGGTGTGTCGGCAGTGGCGCGTCCAGGGCTCGCTCCGGGGCGGGAGGTAAACGGGGGTGGAGGTGCGGCGAGGGCGTGGTTGTGTCGTGCAGAAGTTGTGGCAGAGGGAGGGGCAGGTAGCACATCAGGGGACAGTGGGTAAGGTGGGAGAGGCTGCACGTCGAGCGCGAGATGTCAAGGCATTGGTACACTCAATCTTTCGCACCAGAGGGGGGGGGGGGGCAGGGGAGCAGGGTGTGGCCAGGCTGCACCGTAGGGCTGCGGCGGTGCCCGCGCCAAAGCTGGTTGGAAGTATGTGCAATCTGCCTGAGAGTGGGTCCGCATCTGGGTCGCGTCCCTGGGCTCGCACAGTGTACGCGGGCGCCGTAGGTCCGTCTGCTACCAGCCGACGGGCCCTGGGGTCTCTCTGTGACGACTAGAATGACCTGTAATGATGAAAGAGCCACCTCGTCGCGAAATTCGCGCCTGGTCCCGGCGCACCCTGTGCATTAGCCGTATTGGACGTACGTCTTCTTATGGTGCGACCAGCGGAGCTGCTCGCACGAGCGTTGTTCTGGCCCGGCCAGCTGGGGAACCTAGCTAGCACGTCTGCGGCGAGGGGCTCCCTGTCAGTCTCAGCTGGGGAGCCTATCTAACACGCGCGCGGTGAGGGCCTCCCCGCCGACCCCCAGCTGGGCAGCCTAGCTAACACGTCCGCGGCGAGGGCCTCCCCACCGGCCCTCAGCTGGGGAGCCTAGCTAACACGTCCGCGGCGAGGGCCTCCTCGCCGGCTCCCAGCTGGAGAGCATGGCTAACACCCTGCGGTCCACCCGTCACAGTAACAAGTAACATGAACGTACATTTCAGCTGCAAAGCATGAACGGATCAGAGAAGGACCACGAGCTTAAGATGGCTGACCAGCTAAGGCTATTAGCAAAGCAGATCTCGGTAGGTGACGGCGCTCTGGTGGCTTAAGTGTGTTTGTGTGTAGTTTGGCGCCCAAGAGTTGGCTGTTGCAGGGATATAAAACCTCTTGGTTGCACCTCCTGTCCGCCTCAGTGCTAATGTGTGTTCAGGCTAAAGCTACAACGCGGCGCTGGCACGTGCGCTGCTTTCTTAAGGTGTCGCTGATGTGACACGCGACAGTCTCTCAGGCCGACTGCAGTTGTGTTGTACGGGCTTGTGGACAGATGTGGCGGCGGCTGTGCATTGTTTCTGTTGGCTGAGGAAGTGCGCCAGGGCTAATTTGCTTTGGTATGCTTTGTCCGTTTTTAACCTGCTTATTATTTCCATGTTTTTATACCTGCATGTGTTAGCTGCACCGTGCATTTTCCTGTCTTACGTTGAACATTTCGCAGCCGAAACTCAAAAGAGTTGGCTTGTTTGCTGCCGAGGACGGGGTGTCGCCTCTCCAGACCGGACTGTCCGTACTGGTCGTCATTTGATGATTGCGAGCGTTACGTGCTGACGGCCGAGTGTCCCCCGTAATGACGTATGTCAGACGATGACCTGCGCAGAGTGTCCAGACTAAAGCTGCAGACTAAAGCTAGTTGCCACGCCCTTCACCTCAACTGCCGTGCCTCTGGCGCCCGTCGCCCGCCGCCGTCTCAGGCGTCTCCGTGGCGCGTCACATTCCTCAGTCGTCTTGTTGGGCAGTGCTCATATTTGCGATGTCGTGCAAATTTCCGCGCAGAACTTGACGTTGTGACAAGTGTGCCTCGGCTCATGTTGCCCCCCCCCCCCCCCCCCCCCAATGCGTCTGAGACACATGCGAACATCCTGCCGTTGTCGTTTCAGCCTCAAAGAGCAGACCTGCCACGACTTTTGGTTAGTACCGGCCACGGCTTTGGCTGCGACGCTCAGCATGGGGGCCGGTGCTGCGTCGGCAGTACGCGCATGCGCACCCGCCCGCACGCGCATGCGCCGTGGCGTTGCAGTGTCGCACGCTCTCACCCGACCGTCGAATCCGGCCGTATCCTCGCTTCGCGCCGGCAAGCCCTGCGTATTGTCGCCGGGCAGGGCAGGCCGCGTCCGGCCGCCTCCCGCTGACGCCACTGCTCTGCTCGCCTGTTCACCTGCGCCGCCCGTCTGGGTGTCACCCTTGTCACCCCGACACGCGCTGTCGGGAGCTAGCGTGCCTGTCCGCCCACTGTCCCGGTGTCACGCCGGCGCGCGCTGCTTCCCGGAGACATCCGCCGTTCGCGAGCTCGCGCCGGGTTGGGTCAGTCTCCGAGTGTACAACCCCGGCCTCGGACCACCGGGTCTGGGTTCACCCTGAGCGCTCTCCGGAGTCGGGGTCGCAGCCGGATGCAGCTTGTCTGCCATGCAATCGCCGTGTGGGCGGGCGTGTACTCTTGAGCTTGTCAACGTTGGACACCGGCCATCACTCAAGGGCTATCAGTTATCGGGAGCTGCTGATCAGTGCAGCACGCTGCCATGGCAAACAGATCCAGCTGATTTGTTTACGGGAGGACCTTTCTTTTGACACTGTTGTTGTGCAATCGACACTGGTGTCAAATGCAATAGCAGATTGTCAATGCACAATATCTAGCACCACGACTCCTTTCAGACCGTGTTCTGTGCATACACTTCTTAGGTCATTCCTGGATGCGCGTCTGGCAAACGCGCGAAATTTACCCGCACTGTGCGCTGAGTGACCTTGACCCGCGCTGTGCGCCGAGTGACCTTGATCGGTGCCTCCGTTTCAGCAGCAGATGCACGCGCAGCAGATTCCGCATAGCCACGCGCCGCCACTGACGATGATGCCCCACCCGGGCCTGGCGGGTGCGCCGGGTCTGCCGCCTTCCACCGTCGCCAGTCAGTACTGCCGCGCGGCGCGATGGTGCTGCCATATTGTCGTGTTGTGTTGATGCGTTGGTGCGTTTGTGATGTGATTTACTAACACCAATTGGGGACTTAGGGTTTGTGGGCTCGAGGTTCACAGCCTTCCTTGTAGGTCATGTGAGGTGGCTGGTGATTTACCATCGGTGCATCGAACACTGACCTATGTGAGGCCGGTGGGGGATCGCTTCCCAGAAGCCTCGCTTACCTGGCTGGTTTTAACGGGCAGTTGACAACTGACCTATAGAGCCAAGCTGAAACTGGGGCGAACGTGGCCCCGGCAGTCCCTGGTTAAAATTATCCGCTTTTGTGTCATTTCTTTTGTGTCGCTACTGTAGGCATGGCAGCGGCTTGGACGCAGGCACCGATCTAGGCACGCGGTGCCTGAATTTAGGCACGGCGCCGTCACTGTGACTGCCCAAAGTTGCGACCCTAGTGCCTAGCCCCTCACGGTACGTGTGGTGCTCAGTCCATCGCGTGTTGATGCGGCGGCCAGCTCTTACCCGTCACACGGTGTGTTTCGTCTAGCCCTCATGGCGAAGATTACTGGCTGGTTTAGTGGTCTGAGATTCAGCATTGCGCCATGATCAGCCACCGTTGAACTCGCTTCGAAGCGCTCTTTATCAGTCTCTTTTTCGAACGCGCCTTGCTTATCGTCACTGTTTTCTTCTGCGTTGCTCTAAACAGCTTCAGTTGCCGTCAAGTCGTCAGTGTACGCTATCCCCAGTCAAGTCTGCACACGGAAATATACGAAACTCTGTTCTCCCGACGATAAGCACCCTCTCCCTATCATAACGTAACTGCTGGGAGGGCGGTGTCTAGCCAGATTGTCCCCCAAACTCCAGTCTTATATCTCCAGTCCTGATAGGTCCCCAGGATCTCAGATGCGTGGTCACACCCACGCTCACCCCGACTCCGTCCCTTCGCTCTGTTTTCCTGCCGCGTCATACGGTCGGAGGTGGCCTGCCACAGCTGTGAGCGCCCCCCCCCCCCCCACTCTCAGGTGTGCGTGCCAGACCGCGTGACCGGGCCGCATTCCGCGGCGGGGCGGGGCGGGGCGGGCCCCCCGTGTGGGCGGTCACCGCGGACCAGCTGGGGCGGCCCGCGCGAGGGCCTACCGCAACGAAGGCCGCCTGGTGGGATTCCACTGAAGTTGCCTTGGATTGGGAAGTGTAATAACGGAGGCGAAGGTGTCTGCGCTTGAACGTGAATCAAATATTACTGTGTTCGTGCCGGTTTGCTAGCCGGGCTCACGGATCGACCGTGAGGAGGATAATCAGCCCTTACTGCGCAAGCGCAAACGTTCCCTTTTATTGAAAGGGTATGCTCCACATTTAACGGTATTGAAGCAGCACCATATATGATGAAACAAACTCATTTATAAGCATTGACATGCTTTTAAGTGTAGAAGGTTGCTCTTAACAATACAACGTATCTATTTAGTAGATGTGCTCTTCAAAGCAGCATTGTTTGGTTGCACCATCTTATCTTGCGCAGCATTGGTCGAGAACCAATTGACGGTCGTTATGTCTGGAAATTGTGCTCACGAACGCCAGATATGAACGACTTGGCAATCATACTTTTCTTTGACTTGATCGCTGGCTGGCCAATGGAATGACAGGATTTAAGGAGTGTTGTTATGGCGTCATTGATGCAAGGGTGATCTTGGAATAGTCTGCACAAAACGGCTTGCACATCTTTGTGGGCGTGTAGCTCAGACACTAGAGCGGTTTAGGTCTTGAGAAGGGCAGGGCTGTGAACTGCCCAGTGATCTTCAAGTTGTCTATTTCAGTTGAAACCCCCATACAAATGTGAGACACTCCCTCTGAGCTTTGACGTAAGCGGCTAAGATTTAAAAGTTGAGCCGTCTCCTGCAGACAAATCGTCAACACGGCGGGGTGTTCCTCATCACTGACTGATCACATGCTCGGCCTGGCTGCCTCATCAAGCCATGACTCATGAGGCCCAGCTGCTACCCCCAGCCCGGAATTGCTTGTTCAACAAACCAACGTCGAAAGCCACTGCGCTGATTGGTTTCCGATCCAGTGGACGGCACAGCGCGGTGGTCGATGGCGCGTGTTGACTATTGAACTCTGACCCCGCAGGTCTGCTGGGGCTGACGGGACTGGCCGGAGGTCAGGGGGGTCACCCGACGGCGATGGCTAACCCCAAACATGATACGGGCCGCGAGGAGTCCAAGACGTCGTCAACCGTCACAGGTCAGCACCCCGGGTCAGGGGTCGTGTGGTCAGCGCGGCGCACGTGAAATACCGGCAGCTACATCTGTCGCGACCTGTTCGTGTTGCTGTAATGTTTCGCCAATCACCCTTGTAAGTTCGCTGACTGGAACTGGAAGAGATTGTGACAGGTGTTTTGCCACCGTGCCAACACCGTCGTGTGGCATGAAAGCCCACGATCATGTCCGGCCATCACGCTCACCGCAAGAAAAACGGGGCGCTCTGATTGGCGCCGACGGCCTGACGTGACCTTTGCTCTGCCTGGCAGGTGGCGGTCTGAGCTCTGACGACAAAAACGTACGTATTCGTCCTGCATCGATCCCGTCTCGGCGTTGATGCCGGTCCGGCCTATGCCCATCTCCAGCTCACTCGCAAATGTTGCCTCACGCTCACCATCCAGCCTCACTGCCCCCCCCCCCCCCCCTCATCACCCCCCCCCCTCGCGCCTCCCCTTATATGAAGCGCCCAACGTGGCGACAAGTCCATGCCCTGGCGAGCGGACGTGCTGACGATTTGGTGGGCGCGTACCCGCCCGAGCGCGCGCGCGCGGGCGGCCACGCGCCAGTCAGGCGCGCGCAGGGCGTGACGGCTTCCAGCGGTGCGCCAACCGCGCCTTAATGCCCGGCCCATATTAATCCATTGAGGGCGATCGCGGCGTTAATCGTGGCGGTGCGGCAGTGCTGGGGCCGACATCAATAACGGACCGGCGGCGCGCCGGACATGATTCAATTACGCGGCCGGCGGGGGGCGCGGACCGATCTGCGGCAGTGTCCGGGTGCCCGGGCCAAGCGGGGACCGCGCCGACCGGGTATAGCGAGAGGAGAGAGATGAGAGAGAGAGAGAAGAGAGAGAGAGAGAGAGAGGAGAGAGAGAGAGAGAGAGGAGAGAGAGAGAGAAGAGAGAGAGAGAGAGAGGAGAATTGAGAAGACATCACAGAAACGTTGATGGGGAGGGAAAAGAGCGAGATGGATGTCAAAGGGAGGGAGACATGAACGATGAACGGCGAAGAATGGCGGGATAATAAGACAAATGGAGATGTGTGAAAGACGGCACGATAAGCAAATGGAGAAACCGGACAGCAGACTACGGGGTGGGAATACCAGTAATAATGCAGTGCGTAAATCACCGCAGAAAACAAAGGGAAGGGTTTGCATCAGTAGTCTCACAGAAAGGCAACTACTGAAAGGCTGCATGGGCCTGACATACATTGCACGTCGCTGTTTATCATTTTGTGCAGGATGTCGTTCGTTGCTTAACCGATATTGAGCAAAGGCGCGCGGTTGTGGAGTTCGCAAAGTTCTCCAGGCAGTTGTCGCGAGCAGCGGATGAAATAGACGTTGGAAATGGAAGATACAAGCGAAATTGGCAGGGAAGGGCGATTGAAGGGAGGCACCATGCTGAATGCGGGTACCCACAATCTGTTTGACGAAAACATGCGATGCCTGGCTCGCACCAGAAGATAATCCCCATTTAGGCGCACTATCCCAAAATCCCATTCTCTGCGTGAAGGACCCTTTTACCGCCAACCAGCCCGGGCGTAAAATTACACATCACTCGATACCTCCGACAGCCGCGCGCTCCCTCCCCGCTCCGCCTTTGTGCGGCCCGCGGCATCAAACGTCGCCGCCGCGCGCGCGCGATCCCGCTAGCGACATCTATCCGCGCCGACGCGAACCGCGCGCCGTCGCGTCAACGCCGCCGCCTACCAGCCGCGGGCCGTCAACCCGCCGCGCCACAGTCGGCGCGGCTCCGCACCGCGAAAATCCATACTCGTCCGCCACTTATCTCCCGGCTGCAAACACGGCATTATTGTCCACTCGCCGCTATCGCCGGCCTTATTTGCTCAGATAATGTAAGAGGTCGACCGCGGCGGCCGCCGCGACAGCTGTTTGCCGCTGACGTCACGCCGGTGACGTCAGCGGCTCCGACTCCGGCCAAGAGGGTGACAGCTGCCGTGGCGATTGCGATTGGCAGCCCCCGCCCGTAATCAGCTGCCCCGCCGACGGCGGCTCGAGTGGTGGCGTTGGGGATCTAGGAGGAGGGGGGCGGGGAGGACAGAGATGAGTGGGGTATGACGACAGTGTGAGTGTCGCTCGGGCGCGGCGTGACGCACGGCGCGTTGTCGCTTCGGATGACTTTTTCCCATCCGGTCCGCTCAACCTGGTACAGACGCCTGAAATTTGTCCGTGACAGACAGCTCACGACCAAACCACTGAAGCAAGCGGCGGCAGACGCGGCTTGCTCAGGCGGGCGCCAAGTTACGTCATAATCGTGTGGCCAAGTAAATGATGAGGGTAATCCGTCAATTCGGGCAACCATGGAGGCAGCGTGACCGCGCCGCCGAGCGCGGCAGGCCAGCCGGGCGAAAACCGCCGCGGAAAGCCCTCGTCAGCCGCTGACATCTAGAATGGCCGCAATTTTTCAACAGTTAGCCGGCGTGACATCAGCCGATGGTGCTCAGAATAGCCGCGTCGTGACTGTTCGCGGCGGCTAAACCCGCTGTCAGCCACGTCCAGCTCACTGCACAGAGCTGTCTCCACCCCACGCCTCTCCGACGTCTGAATAGAGGGGGGGGGGGATGAGCTGCCGCCCGCGGATCGGGCCGGGGTGCTGTCCGACCGGAGCGGGTGTTTCTGTCCCGCAGCGGAACCAGTCGATTTCCCCCGGCGGCAGAGACAAGTACCACCGCAACAGGAGTCCGGAGGCGGACACCAAGCGCATGAAGAAGGAGGAGAAGACCGAGGTAGGCGCCTGAAAGGAGAGGCTGGACGCTCAGTTTGATGTCGCACGCCGTGTAGGGCTGTCGGAAGACAGCAGAAACCACTTTGCGAAAATACAATGAGGTTTTTTAGACAACGCGTATTGTTAACGATATGACGATTGGTGCTTATGATGTAACGACAAGTACAAATTATATCCGCGGTTTGCACCTAGCCGACACTACATTTGCACACTTTTCTCTGCCGATAGAAGGAAACAAACTACGTCATCCACATCTGTTTCTACATTTAATCAAACCGCGTGCTCCGGGGTCGATGAGTCCCTCTCACCTGCCTAGCCGGGACTCAAAAATCCCCTCGTTCCGTTGTCAAAAAGCCGCCCAGCGTCACCCGCCAATCAACTTCTCGGTGACCTCTCACACGACCTTTGTGGACGCCATGCGACGGACCATCATTAACCCACCTGACGCTTCCGCCTCCCGGAACTCTAACGAGTCACCGACAGATCCGACTTCTGGCCTATGACCCGGAGGCGCCGCCGCCGCCAAAGATCACGGGTCAGTCATTACAGAGTCTGTCCGTCGCCACAGGGAAGCGAGGGCGACAAGAGCGACCTTGACCTGGTGGTGGATGACGCCAACGATGCCACGAGCGGTGGAGTGACGTCACCGAAGGAGAACGGCCTCGAACGGCTGCACCCGAAACGAGAGCCACACAGGTACGCCACTAGGTGGTAGCAGTGAGCATAAGACCCTGCTGAGTGCTTTGTATATGTTGCACACACACACACACACACACACCACACACACACACACACACACACACACACCACACACACACACACACACACACACACACACACACACACACACACACACATATATATATATATATATATATATATATATATATATATATATATATATATATATATATATATATATATACAGTGGACATTTTTATCATGTACCACTGGGTTTATGCCTACAATTTTGTGCCTAATTGTGCCGTATTCGCTATTTTTCGGATATTTGTAGGGATACGATGACACCGAACTTTTCATATTTACTGTGTTTGTAATGGCACGTTAAAAGTGTAATAGTTTTCTTGAAAATGATCATAGATCTGATTGAAACGTGGAAAAAATAGAGGAATTTGAAACTGTAATCCAAATTGAGGCTGCACGGTCTAATTTGAAATTCAAAATTGGTTATTATTGACTTCATCCCCGAACAAAAAAGTCCTTGGATATTTGTATCGTTATCCAAGTGACCGCAATAACAGCTTGCGATATCATGTTCAAATTTGATTCAGTTTTAATTGCAACAGACCTTAATTCGATTTGTGCATATTTCACCGTTCTAAGCTCGGAAATTGTGGTTATGACGGTAAAAAAACAATAAGGAAGTCAATTGCAGGCTTGGATGGTTATGTTTTTACTTTGTCTTTTGCAAGGAAGCCAATGATATTTTGACTACAGGGAAGTTCATTTGATTTTGAAATGTCTTGTGTTCGAATGAACCACTGGGACGGATTTTTGTGACGTGAGCGTTGTTGTCATAAATGGAGCTGGGAAATAGGGCGAACAAAAACAGGAGATGACTGCATAAGAATAAAATAACGTCGTTTAACCTTGAGACCGTTTTTGTCTCCCGCCTTTTCCAGGCTCCTGTGCCTACATTCTCTAGTCTGGGCTGCATCATATAGATATTGCAAAGCCAATTTTCGAATGAAATCCGAGATAAAAGACGTACCCCGGGTTTGCAGCGCTGGTCACGAAATAAGATAAGGTACGCGTATGCTGTGCGCAAGGCCTCACGTCAGATGTAATAGATGTCACCTGCCATCTTTGAGCCGACGCTGCATTTCAAGTCTGCATTGAGAATAGTGTCTCGTAAGTGTCATCTTGTTGCAATGTGATGCCATTGCAGTATCCCTGTGCCTCATTTCAGTCCTCATAGCGGCACATCCTCCAACGCCAGCACCCCATCGATGAGAAAAATGGAGGACAAACCGAATACACCCAACTCCACGGCCTCAGCGCCCACAAACTCCAGCCTAGTCAACGGCAAGCCCGTGGGAAAGGCCCCTCCCTTAGGTACGTTCAAACAACGATACAAGCAACCGCTGATATGTGCCACAAGTAGTTTGTGCGTCGCTTTGTGTCTGACATAATCACCCCGCTGGGCCATCGATTGCCGCTCCTCCGGTAAACTTTAGTAGACAAAGACCAAATACGCCGCTCGGTAGAGCCGCCCGACACGGAGACTTCACTGCTCGCGCCGTACCGCGCGCACCATCAGCGTCCGCTGCGGCCCACGTCCGCTATGACCCACGCTCACCGCGGCCCACGTCCACCGCGGCTCACGTCTACCGCGGCCCACGTCCACTATGGCCCACGTCCACCGCGGTCTACGTCCACTATGACCCACATCCAACGCGGCCCACGTCCACTATGGCCCACATCCACCGCGGTCTACGTCCACTATGGCCCGCGTCCACTATGGCCCACGTCCACCGCGGTGCGCGTCCACCACCGCGGCCCACGTCCACCACACGGCCGCACCACTTCGAACCCAGCGTCGAGTGTCGCCCCCCCCCTCCCCCCCCCCACCCGCCCCACTCCCCCTACGCAGCTTCCAGCGGCAGGCTGGGACGCCGCCGCCGGCGTGCGCGCCTTCGTCGAACGCGTTTCTGCGGCCCATTACGGCCGCGTTACGGCCAATTGAAGTTCCACGTTGATACTCGCGCTAACGACGCATGCATTGGCAACGGCCGCCTTGCGTGCGGCGTCGTTCCCAGGCTGCGGCAGCGGCGGGCGCCGCGCCCGCACGCGGTGCCTCGCCGATCACCCTCTAATGCCGCCGGCGGGAGGTGACTCTTCCGGCTGGCGCTGTCGGCTGGGGGAGGGGGGGGGGGGGGGGGCAGCGATCACGGAGGCTCCGCCGTGGTGCCTCCGAAGCGTACGTCGCTGTAGGGTGTTCCCCTGCCAGTGGCAGACAGAGGCGGCGGGCTTTGGTCTGCAGGACGGTGTTGCGGTTCGTGCAGAACATGTTGATGCCGGTTTACGTCTTAGGGAGATCCTGCTTGAGATGTCGCTATTCCGAGTCAAGTCCGTCTGTCCGCTCTTACTTCTCTGCAGCAATTACTGCTCTAGTGCCGTCTTTTGTCAGCACGGATTTCGGAAAAATGCACGAGTTTTCCAAAGGCAGCTTGGTTCATGTCCTCCTTGCGCTGGTCAACGGGCATCTCCGGTCATTCAAATGCTCGCCTTAGGCCAGTGAACAGACACATTGGACAACATAAGGCACCGACTCCCCGCCGCCGGCCGCCCCCCTCCCCGCCCTGCGCCCCTCCCCCTTCCCTCCTCGCGCCGACAGGAATCGTAAAACGTCAGCCAGTAAGTGGCCAGTTATGGGCCGCCTATAAGGAGGCAGTCCCTGCCTGCGAGCGGCCAGGCTGACATTATGTGGTAGTGGGCGCGGTGAGTCCGTATCGACGTCCGTCCGACTCCGTCCGTCCGGGCCTGTGTCGCGACCCCGGGACGCCGAGGTCGCGGCTCCAGCGACCTGGCTGACCCGTCGACCGGTGCGAGAGCGGGCCCCGGCCAATCGATAGATCAATACACGGCGCGAGGTGTTTTGAACGTATCCAAGAGGTGGTTCTGAGAAGTCCCAATACCGGGGCTGTGCTTAGGTGGTTCAGGGTACACGCTGCGCGGCCCATACACAATCCAGAGGCTCAAATGAGGGGCATTAAAACGGGAGCCTAATTGCCATAATCATGTCATCTGTCCCATTACAGCGCCATTGCATCAGACCATTTGCAACCACCAATTACACGTGTTACGAACATCTGAGAAGCAGTTGGGCTTGAGGCCGACGTGAACTCTGCGACCTCCTCTATGAGGCCTTAGCGTGCACCCGGGCGGCCAGCGGCGGCGGATGGGCGGTTCCAATTAGGCCGGCCTGTCAGCTGACACAGGTCCGGGTGTCATGCCCCCGAGCGTGTTACCAGTTCCTTGCGAGTTGTGTGTTGACACAGTTCTGCTGTCGTCTGGGTCGGCGAGTGACACCGTGTCACCCCGTGTCGTTCATCGCGTTGCTTAACCGCGACACCCCTCAGCGGCCTTAATTACGCCCCGCGGACAAGACAGTCGGCCGGCAATTGCTTGTTTATTAGCACCGGGTTGACGGCGGTCATTGCTCAACTCGTGCGGCTGCTTTGCGGAGCGAGGTCTGACAAAGGTCACTTGTGCTGGAGGTCAATGTGAGCAGCAAGTTGGCGGGGTTCACTGGAGGCCGTCCGTCTGGACCCGGTGGTGACCTCCCGCTGACCTGGGGTGCTCGGTGACCTCCGGCTGACCGGGGGTTGTCGGTAACCTCATGCTGACATGGAGTGCTCGGTGGCCTCCGGCTGACCAGCGGTCGTCGATGACCTCCCGCTGACCTGGGGTGCTCCGTGACCTCCGGCTGACCGGGGGTCGTCGGTGACCTCCCGCTGATCTGGAATGGTTGGCGACTTTCCATTGACATGTGATACTGACGATGGAGTAGCTCTGTTTGCTGGTGCTCTGTCTGAACGCCATTTGGACACAACCCGACGAAAAAATATAAGTCAGTTGTCTGCACGCGCAGGCGGGGCTTGACGCGAGTGTTACAGAACACCTTAAAAAGCAAGAGAGCTTGATCACTGCGGTATTCTATTTTAGAGCCGTTGGTAGCTCATGATATTCCTGCTTCTAAAATTCGGACACATTAACAAATGAGCATCTGACGTGTACAACTCCGCTATATATGATGGTCCAGCCATCGGCCCTTGCATATTTCTGATCTGCGTCACGGGCTCATAACTACCCCGTTGCCAAGGTCGCCGTAGTATGTGCTTTGCCTTTAGCTTGAAGTGACCGTGGCGTTTGTTCGGCGTGTGATTCGAGGCTCAGTTGTCTGCTCTCTTGACTGCCTGACACTTTTGTGCTAAACTTTTGAAATCGGCGGCGGGTATTTGAGGCGCCTTTCGTTCGAAGCCGCAGCGGACTGCTGTGGTTGTTTTTTGGGTGCCAGTGGTGCCGACTACCGCGGCCCCTGCTGACGGGTGCGTATGCCATGTTTCAGGGCCTCTCGGACCGTTTAACCTGCCCAGTGCGGCGGCGACCACAGAGCCGTACAACTTGGCCCATGGCGCTGCCAACTACAGGGGAAATGTGAGTATCACCTCGGCGAGGGAAAGAGAGAACGGAGGAGAGAGAGAGAGAGAGAGAGAGAGAGAGAGAGAGAGAGAGAGAGAGAGAGAGAGAGAGAGAGAGGGAGGAGAGAGAGAGAGAGAGAGAGAGAGAGGGGAGGGAGAGGGAGAGAGAGAGAGAGAGAGAGAGAGAGAGAGAGAGAGAGAGAGAGAGAGAGGGAGAGGGGAGAGAGAGAGAGAGAGAGAGAGAGAGAGAGGGAGAGAGAGAGAGAGAGAGAGAGAGAGAGAGAGAGAGAGAGGGAGAGAGAGAGAGAGAGAGAGAGAGAGAGGGGAGAGAGAGAGAGAGGGAGAGAGAGGGGAGAGAGAGGAGAGAGAGAGAGAGAGAGAGAGAGAGAGAGAGAGAGAGAGAGAGAGAGAGAGAGAGAGAGAGAGAGAGAGAGAGAGAGAGAGAGAGAGAGAGAGGAGAGAGAGAGAGAGAGAGAGAGAGAGAGAGAGAGAGAGAGAGAGAGGAAGAGAGATGCGTGGGTAGGGGAGGAAACGATTGACGGAGACGTGATAACTTATGCATTATATCAGCCTGCCACAAAAGAGATCGTGATTGCTCTGAGTTTCCGCGTATTAAAACGGAAGGTTTTCCTACTGTATGAAGTTTTATGTCGCCTCTCTCTCCATCTGTCCATCGATTTTAGGCAGCTGTGCTCTTGAAACCTGCCTAAGCTTTGTGAATTTTCACAAATTGTACTGCATTTCCGCGTCGTTACTATTATTTTTTGTCATTTGGGCGCCACATTGGGAGGACGAGACAAGCTTGGGGGGGGGGGGGTTCACTCAGCCAAAATGGATGCAAAGCTTCACAGATGATACCCCCCACCAAAGCAGTCTCTTACCGACACCACGGGTTTTTGATGGAGTTCGCTCGCGGCCAGCCAGCTCTTGGGTGGGCCAGCGGCCGACCCGGCACAGACGGCTGGCTGGCTGGCTGGCTGGCTGGTTGGCCTATTCTGTGATCAGCCGTAGGCTGTTGACTAATGCAGGATCCCGGACTTGGTTTGGTTTTAGTAGGGCGTAGGATTGTTTCCTCATCTTTTTTAAATTCAATATATTTAACTTGAGCTTATGACTTTGTGAATTTCTGTCAGGCATTGGAAAATTTTCTATGGTTTTGCCGGACTGTGCAATAGTCAGGAGGTTGTTTGTGTGACATGTCACTACCATATAGGATTAGTATATATTGGAAAGTGATCATCGGAAATCATGACCACCATGGCTTATCCCTATGGCAAACAACACGTCGCTTTATTTTCCGTCGTTTGAATGTCTTTCCACGAATCTACAAAGCTGCTAACGATACGTCTGGGAACATCTCATAGGACTCAGATTTATCTGTGCAGCTGTTACCTGTAATAGCTATCGACTTTTGTATCCAAAAATAACACCATATAATGGGTTAGCGCCTTTGGAGTTTGCAATCGTTGCCTAATGCAGGTCCCCAGCCTACGCGCTGTATGTAGGTCTCCAGCCCATGTGCTATAGGTCCCCAGCCCACGCGCTGTAGGTCCCCAGCCCATGTGCTGTAGATCCCCAGCCCATGTGCTGTAGGTCCCCAGCCCATGTGTTGTAGGTCCCGAGCCCATGTGCTGTAGGTCCCCAGCCCATGTGTTGTAGGTCCGCAGCCCACGTGCTGTAGGTCCCCAGCGCACGCGCTGCACGCACTCATGCTCGCAGCCGCGCCGTCTCCCACCTGCGCCAATCCCGCCCTCCCCACGCCGCGCGTCGGGACTCCCCGCCCCCGAGGTCAGCCTGTAAAAGGATCGCATCGCCTATCGAGTGCAGCTCTGAAGCATGGAACGGAACCAATTCTCCCGTCCAATTCTATTAAGGCAATCGTTGCGCCGCTTCCCGGCGTGTGCCCTGGGGGGCTGTTGGGTCAGGGCCGGCGGTCCGCCTCGCCCTCGCTCTCTCCTCCCGGCGAGAGCGCGGCGGGCGGCGCTCGCTGCCGACGGCGTGGCCGCCTCGGTCGTCTGGGACGGCTGGGGACACGACACGGCCATGGCTGCTGCCCGGCCAGCGGCGGAGCTGTGCCTGGTCCGGGTGGGGTCAAGTGGGGAGGGGCCTCACCCCCGGCGGAGGCTACACCCCGGGCGGAGGGTACACGGGTGAAAATCTGCGAGTTTGTTTCCCGACGTTTTTTTTCCGTTCACCCCGTCGACCGCGGAGAGGCGTTTCCCAGTAGTTGGCTTCTCGCTGCTCCCAGTCATCACTGCCCTGGCTGCGCCGCTGGCTAGCCAGTTGCTGGACAGGGTCAACGGGCTGTGAAGCGCAAACTTGGCCGCCGGCCCCGGAAGCGGAGCATGGCTCAGCCGAGTATTGAGCGGCCGTACCAGGAGCCACTCATCCCGACAGTTACCGCTTGTTCCCGGACTGATTAACCCGACCGCGAGTGACGTCACATGACCGGGCGGTGACGTCATGCTGAGCGGTGACATCACGCGGCTTGCAGCGAATTGGAAGAGGCGAGGCTTGTTGAAGCGAGAGCTCTAGGATAAGTTGGAGAGTGAAATAAGGGCCGAACGACGGTGATGTGCCCGGTTGGATGGCACTTGAGAGAGCAAGAGAGAGAGAGAGAGAGAGAGAGAGAGAGAGAGGTGTTTATATTTTCGCGGATCAAATGCTGGACTGACCGGGAATACTAGATAATAGCTTGTCTGAGCTATCGGCGGAGTACGTTGGAAAAAAAGAACGCAGATGTCATGCTTGGACTGATGTGCACCGGTGTAGAAGGATTTCAGACAAGCTGCATTTATAAACGCATAAACTACATCACCGATTTTAACTCCGGATTGTCGGAACTCTTTCAAGTGCGCTTACATACGAACTGATAAAACGTGAAAGCGCGGATCTGTGAAGTTACAGCCTGGTTACTGCCGACTCCCTGAAACAGAAATTGCCTGCATTCGCGGCAGTCAGGCGCACATGGCCGGGCAGTGATATCGAACTTTCACTTGGAGCGTGACAGCTACTCCGAAAACAGCAAGACCTCTTTTGGAAACGTTCAAACGATCGCAAAGCTTGCAACGTCTCGAAGCCTCATTCACAGCTCATAGACGCAAGCTTGCACATCGTCCGTGCATTTCGCTGTGGGAGTGTGTCAGCCGAAAACTTAGCTCTCACCTTGTTATCACCTTTATCAATAGCATGAATAATCATATCGCGGGTGAAATTCCGCTGTTTTCAACAAACTATCAGATTAGCAATGGTGTATCTTGAATCTGTGGTAAGGAAACTGCTCCAAAACGTTTTCTGACAACTATTAATCTCACGCACGACTCATAGAGACATATTTTTAATGAGAGTTGCTGGATGTTCTCCTATGCCTAGAGTTTCTCTAAGAACGGACTGAGCATCCGAGCATCAGTCGCTGTCGTGTGAGAATGTCTCGCCGAGAATGAATGCAGCGTTCCGCGCAAACGCAGCCGCTGACAAGTGTCCGGTAACCGTTCCAGAACGATCTCAACTTCCACGTCCGCGGTGCGGGCCTGGCCAACATTCCGGGAGGCAAGCCGTAAGTAGCAGCGGGAGTGAGGCCCTCTTCCCGGCATTCACCCCACGCGCTGAGCCGTGAGACGTGACCCCCCCCCCCCTTCCCCCCCCCCTCCCCGGACGGCTGGGCGCGATCGGACGCGCCGTGGCGGCAGCTTCTCCTGATTGGTCGCGGCGCGGTCGCAGCTTCTCCTAATTGGCCGCCGCTCCGGACGGCGGCTGCACGGTGTTAATGTAAGTGTCGTGTCACGCCGCCGAGATCGGGCGCCGATGGTGTCAGCGGCGGAAAAATGACGCGCCGACACGGAGAGGATTGGTCGTGTTCGGAGCCGACAGGAGACTGTTAGCCGGACAGCGGCCGCATTACGGAGCAGTGATGCATCGCGACGCTCGGCGGACGAGCCTGCGGGGGCGAGGGCGTGTTCTCGGAATCGTCTCAAGCTGTTTTGAACTGGGAGTTGGATTGCTGATAGCGCATCAGAACCTGACCTGGCTATCAGTGTACATGCAATTCACTTGGTTGATGCACTTGTCTGTACGTGCACTTGAGTGCGTTCAATGGTTTTGAATCTGGTTTAGTTGCGACTTGCAATGCAACTGGTGTCATGTCACGTGACAGCTGATAGTCTTGTGGGGAGCGGTTCCGAGTTGCCGACTGCACCTGTCCGGAGGAGTCACACTTGCTGGCGCCGCAGCGAGCAAGTCATAACCCGACCTTGCGCCTCAGCGAGTGAGTCTGGACACCGCCTAGCGCCGCGGCGGGCGAGCCATAACCCGACCTTTGGCCGCATCGGGCGAGGGCGAGTCTGGACACCACCTGGCGCCGCGGCGGGCGAGTCATAATCCGACCTTTCGCCGCATCGGGCGAGTCATAATCCGACCTTTCGCCGCGGCGGGCGAGTCATAATCCGACCTTTCGCCGCGGCGAGCGAGTCATAACCCAACCTGGCGCCGTAAGAGTGACGCGTCACTGCCTCCTGTCCGCGCGACACCCACGGGCCGCCGGCCCTCCCCAATGCCGTGATGTCAACAGCCGAGCCGCTCCCGTCCGCACCTCCCTCCATACCCCCCGCCCCTTCACTCTTTCCTCTGTGGCTCGTGCGACCCCCAGTGGCGCCGCCGCCGGCGTGGGCCGTGCGCCCGCCGTAGAAGCGACTGTGTCACGCCGCGCCGCAATCGTCGCCGCTGGGACCGGAGGGCAGCGCTGGATGTCTTGGTGACGAGCTGCTGCAACGGAGACTCGGGGAAATCGTCTCTGTCTCTCCTTTTCCCCCCTTCCCTCTCTTTTCCCTCTCTCGCTCGCTCTCACTTGAGCTGTCTTGTAGTGCTTCCTCTCTCCTCCTCTCTCTCTCTCTCTCTCTCTCTCTCTCTCTCTCTCTCTCTCTCTCTCTCTCTCTCTCTCTCTCTCTCTCTCTCTCTCTCTCTCTCTCTCTCTCTCTCTCTCTCTCTCTCTCTCTCTCTCTCTCTCTCTCTCTCTCTCTCTCTCTCTCTCTCTTTCTTCTCTCTCTGTTCTCCCGCTGTGAAGTTCTTCACGCCAGCCGGTGACTCCGCGCCGTTTTTGCGGCGAAGAAAGCCGGCGCTGTGACGTCACGGGAGAATACAGAAATATCAGCGCCAGGCGCCACACGCCGAGTCGGCTGTTGACAGCTGGAGAGCAGTTCTTTGTTTTGGCGTGCGTGCGAAATTCGTCGCTAAAATGACGCAGTTTTTGTCTGGTCTTGCATGGCGCACGGCAGCGGTCCCCGGCAGCAACTTCGCTGAAGCCGCAGTCTTCTGGTGAATTACTCGCACTCCGCTGAAACGGGAGACGAAATGGGGTCGACCGTGCCGTTTGCTTTCCGTCCAATTCCAGACAAACACATTCCGTCTGCGTCGATTCCAGCCGTTGGAATTGTAAGCTCGCCACCAGACCCCGGCAGAGACGCCGAAAAGGTCGAGTCGCTCTCAGAGCAGCACCAGAGATTGACCTCCGGACCTCGTGACCCGATACTTGGCTGAGCCTCGACTCCGAGCACGCCCTCAGCCCCAGCTTTATGTTGAGACGATGCGGGCCAGGCGTGTGTTTTATAGGCTCATTTCCGGGTTTCGTTCCTGGTATCTGCCGCCTGTAATGCCGCCTTCAGAGTCCTGATGGGGCGCGTTTGGACCCCAATCAGGCACTGAGGAAGTGGAATGGCCCGGGGTGGCAACAGACTCGATCCGCGCGCGCAGATCACGGCTGTGCGGTGCAAGATTGTCTTCGTGAAAGCCGGGCGACGTTCAGCGGGCACCACTGTGTGTGGAAACGACTTGAGCTGCGCCTGCCTCCGCTCAATACTAGCATGTTGGGGAAGAGGCTATAGCGCACCAATGCAAACTTGTTTTGGGACCGTGTCATAATGTCGACAGTTCATAATGTTCACAGTTCATAATGTCCATAGCTCATAATGTTCGCTGTGCATAATGTCCACATTTCACAATGTCTGTCGTTCTTAATGTTCATAGTTCACAATGTCCAGAGCCCATAATGTCCGCAGGTCATGATGTCCACAAAATGGTTTCGCATGTGCCCGCTAGGGTACGGTGCCTCGCCCTTGTGGTTGAAATGGCGGCGTCTGGGACCGTGATGGCATTTCCTGCCGTGTGGTGTAAAGTCGAACACCATTATTGCCGTTCGATTTCCCTAATCGGCTGCGTCGGTCGATCACCTAATCATCCGGGCCGTTCTGCTCTGCCACGTGTGGGAACAGCCTGACGTTGCACGGGACTTTTCTTGCTGGTCGGTTGGTGGGAAGGTTCTCAAGTGTCGGTATCGTTCGGTAGCGGACGGCGAGAAGGGCGCGGCTTGTCGCGCGGGGGTTGCGTGGGGAAGGCAAAACCAGTGCAGGATGAAGCGAGGAGCGTGAGAGACAGGGCGCATATATTACTGCGTGCCACGGTTACAGTAATCGTTAGATCCAGACCACTTCTTGGCACTAAAACACATAACGTGATGAGATGCCATTGAGCCATAAAAGGGAATTAGATATTCCGGAAAGCTTATTTTACGGCGGGTTCCTACAATTAAGATTTGCTCGATGAGCTCCGAGCTTTTTACATCTTTCCCAATTTCGTTTGACCGCCTCAGTAATAAATTTGGGGCTTAACAACGAGGGGAATCCACATCAAGTCACGAACGATGCTTCTGGTATACCTCATTTCCCGCAGTGGATATATCAGCACTGAGCGTCATAACTCCCCAAAATTGCGAGTTGATGTGGAACGTGCAACGTGCACAACGTGAACCTATTGTGTGGGACTGAAACCAGCGATGATCAGCCATCACTTCGCCTGAAAAAAGCGCTGCGTCTCGCCATATATTTTGGCTGTCTGGGGCTATTTTGGGCCCAGACTGCTAAAAGCCTGAAGCCGTCCGAAGCCTCGCAGAATAACAGGCTATTTTGCTGCAAGTTAGCTTATCTTACCTTGGAGGTGATTGACATTCTGTCCAGTTACGCTTGGGATGTAGAGGTGTCTGGTTTTTGAAACGTGGCGGTTGTGCCGACTTCTGAATGACAAAGTGGCGTCACGAAACATTATAGTGTGGCATCTCTGTATGGAGATGGCATGATCTCTCTTCGTGACCTCGTAAACCTCTCTTAGTGTGGCTTAACCTGACTGGGACTTGAATCAGTATACAAACCTAGTCGAACGGACGCAAACTAACATACCCGCCCAGACCTTCCCCTACGTCGTCTATTTTGCGACACCACCTTATGCGGAAAACGATATTATCCTATTTGACCACATTCGGCCACGTGTCCCCATTTGAGCTATAGCCAATGTTCACGGGGTGCTCAGTATCTCTGTAGACATGTGGAAAATATCTGGCACAGCCTCTGGTGTTTATCATTCACTCATTCAGTCATTGGACGAGCGTTCTGTTCATGCAATTAACTTCAAAATTCAAACAGAATGATATCTCCGTTAGCTTCTTTGACATCTGTTTCAATAACAGAGTGGGAAATAATAAAACGGAAGAAGTGTGTCCCCTCCGAATCAAATAGGCCATGCCTGAGATTTTTATGTAGGGGGAGGGGGTGGGCGTTTCGCCATCAGCGACCTTTTTCAATCCTGTACTCCACCTCTTACCAAGACCCTGGCTGTGCCTCTGCTCCCCACTGCGATCTCTGAAGGCATTCCTCCACACCACCTCTTACCAAGACCCTGGCTGTGCCTCTGCTCCCCACTGCGAACTCTGAAGGCATTCCTCCACACCACCTCTTACCAAGACCCTGGCTGTGCCTCTGCTCCGCACTGCGATCTCTGAAGGCATTCCTCCACACCACCTCTTACCAAGACCCTGGCTGTGCCTCTGCTCCCCACTGCGAACTCTGAAGGCATTCCTCCACACTACCTCTTACCAAGACCCTGACTGTGCCTCTGCTCCCCACTGCGATCTCTGAAGGCATTCCTCCACACCACCTCTTACCAAGACCCTGGCTGTGCCTCTGCTCCCCACTGCGAACTCTGAAGGCATTCCTCCACACCACCTCTTACCAAGACCCTGGCTGCGCCTCTGCTCCCCACTGCGAACTCTGAGGGCATTCCTCCACACCACCTCTTACCAAGACCCTGGCTGCGCCTCTGCTCCCCACTGCGAACTCCGAAGGCATTCCTCCATACTACCTCTTACCAAGACCCTGACTGTGCCTCTGCTCCCCACTGCGATCTCTGAATGCACTCCTCCACATCTACGCAGATATTGCGTTTCCCGTGCTAAATTACAACGCTGCTGCTGATGGGCACCGCATATCGTTTCTTGCTTCATAACAAACGCGCAGGTGATCTCGGACAAATGCCAGATATATACATGTAAGCAGACACGGACGCCGGCTCAGGCTTGTAATCTTTTCATAGACTTGCTTCTCTCGGTCCCAAGATAGGTGTATAAGCTGGGGAGGGAAGGGGCAGATGATACCTTTTGATGTCATTGCTTATATTGTTGCAATCATTACTGACAACGCACCTCTAAAATACGTGCCTGACTAAGACTCGGTGTAGGAGCAGGGCGTATGCTTGATACATTATGAACTGTGAATATGAGGAACTGTGGACATTATCGACTGTAGACATTATGGACTGTGGGCAATGTGAACTGTGGGCATTATGAACATATATACAATATATATATATATATATATATATATATATATATATATATATTCTCCCATATCTATACCATCCTAGGTCGCACCATACACTTGGCACAGCTTTCATGACTCAGACCTCTCCTATCGTTGAGCGGTTACATGCCGACGCATGCCTGGCATGTCTCCACGCCACCATGCCCTTTTTGCACATCAGCTCCGCCCTGTACCGGCTGTCACGTGACCACCTCAGTGTAGCCGCGGACACGGCTGTCGGTTTCATGCAAAGTCGAGCTTATTCCTGTACAGCTGGCTTTCATCTGTCATATGCAGAGTCGACTTAATTTCAGTCGGTTTTGTTTCAGATCTTTTGTTCAGAGTTGGCCTCTTTCAGTCGGGTTTATTCAGAGTCGGGCTTTGGGAGGCCGTGGAAGATTCACTTTGGAACAATGGTGCTGAACCGTGTTTTAAATCGAAGGAAATGACGTCACGGCGCTTGGTGACGCCTCTCTCCCATAAGGCCGAAGTTTTTCACCCTGGCGGATGCAGGCAGAACTAATTAGTGGACATTATGAACTGTGAATATGAGGAACTGTGGACATTATCAACTGTAGACATTATGGACTGTGGGCAATATGAACTGTGGGCATTATGAACTTCCCCCACACGCCTCTCCTTTCATCAGTCGCCAGGTTACTCCTCGTTTTACCTACTCCAAAACTGCACGCACATAATTTCGCCTCTGCATTGCTGTTGCTGCTTGCATTTACATTTTTCGCCCCGCCCCCCTCCCCTCTGTCTCTCTCATATTTCTCTCTCATCTCCCCTCCCCCTCTTCAATTCTCAACTGTCTGCTTTCCGCCCATCGCAGCAGCAACACCCCTAATCAATCTCCAGAAGGCGTCTCGCTCACCCTCCGCCCACGTCCCCAGGGCCTACAGCTTCCACGTGTCGGCCGATGGCCAGATGATGCCAGTGCCGTTCCCCACGGACGCGCTGCTGGGACCGGGCATCCCGCGCCACGCGCGCCAGATCAACACCCTGAGCCACGGCGAGGTGGTATGCGCCGTTACCATCTCCAACCCCACCAAGTACGTCTACACGGGCGGCAAGGGCTGCGTCAAGGTGTGGGACATCAGCCAGCCGACGGCCAAGTCGCCCGTCTCGCAACTGGACTGCCTGGTGAGTGCCAGTCGTGCCGCCGACACAACGGCGGGCCCAGGACGGGACGGGAGGGGGGGGGGTGGTATACCATTTCCCCCCAGGTCAGTCTCTCCATCCCTGTCCCAAGTCAGTCTGGCCAAAAATGTACGGTTTCTGGGCTTGTTTCGACTAAGTATCTAAGCAAACTTACGACGGGAAGTCTGTTTTTTAACATTCCATGTGGGAAAAGGAAGCCAAATCCGTTGAGTTTTGAAAGTCATGACACTTTTTCAGACTTACCCCAGGCCGATGTTATCCTCTCCCCTCTCCCTCCCCAAGCGGCTTTCTGGCTTTGCCCTTTTGCTGACGGGCGGCGGGCTTGGAAATGTTAAATGCGATGACCGCCGGTAGAGGACAGAGTTGATGCTGATTGTCAGAAAGTCACCGGCAGATGTCGCTGCAGAGATCAATGAGTAGCCTGAACACCTTCTCAGAAGGACGATTCCATTATAAATGTATTTGCGCGGGAGACAAACTGGTCTGAAATCCTAGAAAGTGATTCCAAGTAGTAAATATACCCTGCCTGCTTTTCATTATCGCTTCGGCATATGCACTCGAACGACTGGCCGTGTCTGCCCTTGTCCAGAGGCGAGTGCGACACCCGCTGACAGAGCACCGTCCCGTTTCAGCAACGCGACAACTACATCCGCTCTGTGAAGCTGCTGCCGGATGGCCGAACCCTGATGGTGGGGGGCGAGGCGAGCACGCTGAGCATCTGGGACCTGGCCGGCCCCAGCCCGCGCATCAAGTGCGAGCTGCCGTCGTCAGCGCCGGCGTGCTACGCGCTGGCCATCTCGCCCGACTCGAAGGTGTGCTTCAGCTGCTGCAGCGACGGCAACATCGCCGTCTGGGACCTGCACAACCAGCAGCTGGTGCGCCAGTTCCAGGGCCACACGGACGGCGCGTCCTGCATCGACATCTCGTCCGACGGCAACAAGCTGTGGACGGGCGGCCTGGACAATACGGTGCGCTCGTGGGACCTGCGCGAGGGCCGCCAGCTGCAGCAGCATGACTTCAGCTCGCAGATCTTCTCGCTGGGCTTCTGCCCGACCGGCGAGTGGCTGGCCGTCGGCATGGAGAGCTCCAACGTGGAGGTGTTGCACGTGAACAAGCCCGACAAGTACCAGCTGCACCTGCACGAGAGCTGTGTGCTGTCACTGAAGTTCGCCCAGTGCGGCAAGTGGTTCGTCTCCACCGGCAAGGATAACCTGCTGAACGCCTGGCGGACGCCGTACGGGGCCTCGATATTTCAGGTATCTTGACGGGATCTAGCGGCGTCATGGACAGGCGTTGGCATTTATGACGTTCCGGCGCCGTGGATCGTTTTTTGTCGTCAGTTTGGGTCGTTATCTGTCAACAGTGGCTGGTCGAAGAGACGGCAATCATCCCACCTTAAGCCCGTTAACCTGCAGATTAGACTGGCATTTTAGGAAGATATGTGCTTCTTAAGTATTGTATACATATGTGACGAATGGGATAAGATCAACTTCCATCTAAATTAGCATGATTTCTGATCCTCCCTTGGATGCCATACAATCTGGTGACCGCACTGCGTGAACTTTTCTCAATTTTTTCTCCCGTGGCGTGTACATAAAAGGCGGCTGGCATACCCAATGACGTTCGTTCTGAGCGGCCTCGCGTGACCAGAATGTTTCCGGATGGTGGCCGCCGCCCGCGGCCCCCATCCTGCAGTCTTAGACTGCACCTGCTCAGCCCGCTGCCCGTGTTGCAGTCGAAGGAGTCGTCGTCGGTGCTGAGCTGCGACATCTCGGCCGACGACAAGTACATCGTCACCGGCTCCGGCGACAAGAAGGCCACCGTCTACGAAGTGATATACTAGACCGGGTGGCGCGTACCTACTGTCGGTGCCGGCAGAGACATCTAGTGGCACCGCGACGAACCACACCAGTGATACCGCGCGAGAATATCTAGTCCGGACGTACAACTCTCACCTTGGATGGATTCTAATCAAAATGCGTCCTATTTTTGTCGGTCAGAATGCGGCGTCGGTGGGTGCATGCCGAGAGGCGTGACTTTGGTGGGGTTTCTCGTTGTTATTTACCTCTTCTTGGATGTCAGTGTCCGTGTAACCATACAGTGTTTTCTGAGCGTTGCGTGTTGCCTGAGGCGCGCCGTCGGACGCCATGACAGTCTGCCATGGCGCGCCGCCGCGAGCCCAGCTAGCATACTGCGAGCGTGGACGGTGGCCGTTGTACAGGGAAATTTCAGTCCTTGACACATTTGAATGTGGTATATTGGACGTTGATACCACCGCACAGCACCCCGGAGCGCCTGTGCGCGTGTCTCTGTGTCCCGGCAGCCGGCTGGGTGCGGGTGTGTGCGGTGTGGCTGTCCCCCTAGCGTATCTCTGTGTACCCTCCCGGTCCTGCGTCACCTGCGCTTACTGCCGCCGCCAGTGCACCTCGCCGGCGTCGGCTTGTCGTGGTAGATGAGCAGGGACTAGTACAAAATACCGGCGCAGCGTCTCGGGGCCTGGCCCACCCTCTCGCTGTCCGCACCCCGGCGTGATCAGACGCGCCGCCACGGCCGTCGGTCGGGGCACGCGACCAGCGGCGTCAACACCCGATCACCACGCGCCAAGATCGATGGCCACCGCCTGCAGCCCCCCCCCCCCCCCCCCCCCCGCCGCCCGGGGGCGCTCCGCGGGCGGCGGCACCGTATATATATATCCGGCCCCGCCCTCGCCCCTGACCCGCCCTGGCACACACTCGGCTGCAGAAGATTGTTGATGTTATTTTAGATGTGTCGCTCGGTGGTCGCCAGGCCCCCTGGCCCGTGCCAATATAATGGAGACACAGAGACGCGTTCTTTGGCGTGGTGACGGCTGTCGCCGCCCCGTCTCCCGTCCGCGGCGAGACGCGACAAGACGAGGTCGGGCGGATGGCTGACGGGACCGCCGCGAAGTGGGCGTGGCCAGGCCGGGCCGCGGTATGGCCGACTCGACGCATCGGTGCGCGTCGCTGCCGCCGACAATTCGCCGCAGCATTCAGGCCGGCTCAGAGCTCGAGCTCGGCATTCGGTGGGCGTCCCCCAGCGGGACGAGGATTCTGCTGAGGCGCCCCAGGCGGCATGCGACCGGCTCTACTTATCCCAGGCGGTTAATGGCGTTTGCCAGCCGCGGGCGGCCGTCGGCGGCGGGCTTCAAATGCCGCAGCGCTCGCGCTGTCTTCCAAGGAGCTCCTCCGTCACACGGATCTCATCAGTCGGGCTGGCAGTGGATTCGCCGCTCTTTCACGCTCTGGCGCCGCCGCCGGCTGTCGCCATCATTCAGCCGAATTACGGACTCGTCTTCTGTTCATGAAGCGAGACAACTCTGGCGCGGCCGAGTCACATCCGGGCGAGGTAATTATTTGACGCTCCGGGGAGCGAGTGGCTTGATGCATAATCAATACGGGCTCTGCCGTCTGCCCGTCTGCCGAGCTACGAGTGAGCATTTCGGCTACTGTCACCTTTAGTTCAGGCCGCCGCCGCCGTCCGACGAGTCCGATATTCTGCCCCACGTGTTGTCCAAGCCAAATGACCACCGCCGTCGGCGGCGACTCGAGCAAACTTTGAATTGTTAAAAGCATCCGTTTGATGACCCGCTCGCGCTTGTGGAGCACAGCAAACATCGACCGGCATTACTCGCCCGGTGGAACTGCCGGCCACTGGTGGCATCCCCGCGTTGGCGCCGACCAACCCTTTGTTCGCTGCGGGTGGATTTTGCCCAGAGAGCTGGGGACGCGATCAATACAGAGAACAGGCCGGGACGAACTGCCAGACGGAAGAACCATTGATTGGTTGCGTGCAACCATCTTTTTGGGGTGTTTTTGCGCAAAATGCCATTTATTTTGTTGACCGACACACCCCACGTGGATGCGTAAATGTTGTACCACCTCTGATTGGTCGTGATCCCCACGTGGAGAAAGCCCATTGGTTGGCCTGTACCACCAATTGTGAGGTAGGTTACTTTCTGCTCCTTCCCACGTGGGGTAGATGGGGCCATTCTGAGACGAATGAGGGAAGGAAAATTGGGAATCTGGCCGGGTGTATCTACGCAAAACTTCCAGATGGAGGAGGGATCGTGCGGCCGGGTCGGACCGTTCCGGGCGCAGATGCCGGGTCACAGGCCGCCCCGGGCGAGCCGCATGGCCGCACAACGGCGCGGGAACCGGTAACGTTTTGAACCGCCGATGCGTTACCTCGCCGGGGGGCTGCGGCGCCGGCGGCATGGGTACGGCGGACAGACTGCTCTGCGTCGGCCGGTTTTTACACCTGGATCATCTCGGCGGTCGTAAAAAGCCGCCGGCGCGGGCGCGACGCTCGCGCTGCGTGGAAGGATCGACCGTCCGCGGTCGGCCGCCGCCGGCGACCGTGATAGGGGTAACGGCGTCATTCGGTGCCGCCGGCCGCCGTGGAGGCGATCCTGGCGCGCCGCCGGGGTGAAAGGAGATGAGGTGTGGCGCGCCGCGCCGCCAGCTGGCGGCGGACGCGTCGCGGTGCGCGCGGTGGGCACCCGGCCCGCCAGGCCCGGCATGAATCACGGGTGGGGACGGACTTTGTTGGAGGGATCGACTGACCTTCCTCTCCCCCTCCATCCACAGGCGCCGCGCGGCGGGGACTCGACGCTCGGTACCAGTCATTCAATAGATACAGCTGCCATCAAAATACATTGCTAATTGGACTTTAGAGTCGGGCCCAACGTGTATGCCATAATAACATTAACCTCTCAGCGCCGACTGGCGCGCTATTTCTTCTGTTCAGATACGGCGGGACCAACGGAGCGGAACAAAAACGCTGGCTGCTGACTGGTCGGCCGCCCACCAATGAGAAGCGGGCACCGCAGCCCACGTGGGCGCGAGCCACACACCGGCCCGCACACGAAATGATTCGGAATGAAACTGAAGACCCGGGGAGGACATGATTTATAATAGGGTCAGCTGGGACCGGAGAGGGGACGGAACCGTGGTGACCGGCGCTGGCCCCCCGCGCGAGGGGACCCGTTTCCGCCCGACGCGTACCAGGCGCGCCGCGCCGATGCCGGTGGACGACGCTTCCGTCTGAACCGCCGCGCTGCTGAACCACAGGTCGATGGCGGTGGCCGGCGGCCGCGGCGGCGCGCGATGCGGGCCGATGCTCAGAAGCAGGCCGCCGCCGGTAATTGTTGTCATCGTTGAGTGGGATTTTTGACGGCGGCCGCCGGCGCGCCGCCGGTGTGCCGCAGAGGCGATCTTTGTGCTCGGCGCGGAACCAGTCATCATCGTAACCGCCGGCTGTCGGTGCTCGCTCCCACGCACAATAGGCCGAATAATGGACTTTTTACTCGTCCACGGTGCCGTAATTTTCGAATCACTCGGGGCGTGTAATCACAATCGAGCGTGACCGCCGGCGCGGCGCACTCTCCGAGCAGCCGGGGGCCGCTTTTTGTCCGGCAGCCAGCGGTCTCAGCGATTTGTTTTTGCCGCCGAAGCCCGCGGGCGGCCGCCGACGCACCGTTTGTTTTCGTTAGCGAGCGGGCACCTCCGCCGAGGAGATTTACGTTGCAGGGGAGCGCGGCGCGACATAATGATCCCGTCATTGGCGAGTTAGCCGGGGATTTTTGTCGGGGTCGCCCTCAAAGCGAGCTGTCTGAGTGCATGGTTTATTCAGTGAGGGGAGCCCCGATAAAAAGCGAGGGTGCTGCTGACGCAGAAAAATCGCAACGCCTCCAACTGCCGGCCGCCGAAGACGCCCAGCTTTCTTTGAACGCCCACCGACGCCCCCCGAGACGGAACTGGAAAGCCGGGCCTGTTTGCTGTACAAGCGCGAGGAAACGTTAGAGTCCACAGCTGCGCGCGGCCCGTGTTGACATTGAGTGCTTCAAACGGAGAGGCACCTGAGAAGTGAAGCGGACTGATGGCCGGGTCAGGCGGCGCCAGCTCGAGACGCTGATCGCTCGAGGGTGCCATGACGCGGGGAGAGGGGGGAGGGGCGACGCATTGGAGCTGATGGCGACGATAAGCTCGGGAGGCCGCGAAGGTGGCGCGCGCACACACACGTTCGAGCATACAGACATGATAGCTCGACGGTTGGGCCTAGTTCTGCTGCTGGGCGGCGCACAGTGGGAGTAGATAGCCTGCCAGCCTGCTCCGTTCATCCCACGATATGGCCTGCGAGTCACAGCCCCATCAGAACGTCCTCCATTCTCCTACCAGGGTGTATTCCTTCATTCTCATCAGGATACCTTTCTTTGCTACCGCCTGACACGTGTATAGTCACATTTCTAAGAATCGGGGCGAGATGGAGGGGGTGGGGGTGGGGGGTGGGGCATCGAGAACAAACTGGCATCTGGCAGGGGACAACCTGGATTGATAACGTGACCTTGTAGTGGGCTACCGTGAAAAACGTGCATTGTACCGACAAAATTGAGGGGCAAAATCCTGCCTTAGCAAAATTGGGAGAAATGTCCCCTTTGTCCCCTGGGGGGTGCACCATGTTGCCTGGTATGCGAGCCCGCTGACGCCGTCTGTGGACGTTACGTATATGGGAATCATTGCACCGACACTTCTAGAGCTAGAAGCATCAGTGCAGCTTATGCCGACTTCGTCATAAAACGCAAAGCCATTGTTTAAGACCATTGTAAAGGTTAACAATAATGATTGATACAAAAAAGTGTGATCGAGGCCGCAGCAGGGAGGGAATTTTTCTAAACAATTCCCATGATGCCAATTTTAGAGTAAATAGTTACGCATGAAGCGAAGAGTACCGCCACTCAGGGCGTCGGTGACGCAGTGGTTAAATTATGCGTTTGGAGAACCTGAGGTACGCGGTTCGATTCCTGCGGCGACTGTCCTTCAGTAGGCGAGAGGCAGGGAGTGCCGTATGGCCTCAGCTGCTGAGTGCCTCGTAAAGCCACATTGACGCACAAGGACCCCCGTTCGAAGCATGGTTTGCTTAGGCCCACGCCATGTTTGTAGAAGGTAATATCCTTAATGAACGGCTTCAGCTGGTCACTATCCTCATTAGTCTTCTGTAGCTGGGTCCTGAAACTCAGTGACATAAAAGCAAGGGAGCTCACTCAGCTCACAAACAGAACAGACCAAGATTGCGGCCATTGCTTGATGCCTAGAATGGCTGCAATCTCCGGAGAAACCCTATTCGCAATGACAAATTGTCCCCTAAAGAAATCAAATGCGTTTTCCATGCGAGCAGGGCCAAAGAGCCATCTCATTCAAACCATTTATAAGGATATCTGGCGTACCAATAAGAGTCGGCCCTGCGTCTTGGAACGCTCCTGCACCAGAGCATATCTCAGCCTTTTTGAGACCCCGGGAACCCTCAATTCACCAGCGGAGCAGCCACCGAGCCGGGCGGGCGAGACCTGAGAACCGAGCCGAGCAGGCGAGACCTGAGAGCTAAGCCGGGTGGGCGAAAACCTGAGATCAAGCCATTGATCTATTCTGCGATCCGCCGGGCAGCCGTCGGTGATAATTAGAGCATAATCGACATGCGATCATTAGTGTCATGGCCAAGTCAAGTGGTTGCCATTACAGCACTCCGAGAAATGACATCCTGGTAACAGGCGGCCTCAGCAAGCGTGCTGCTCTTGAAACCTTGAATGGTTGCACGACGGCAGTTCATTATGAGGAACCTGCTGGAAGAAAAGTGTGACATCTTCGGTCGCCATTTAAGCGTACTTGTCACGTTCTTATCTTGATTAGGGTCTGAGATCGGGCTTGCAGGGCTATGCTACTGGAGGTCGTTCTCCAGAGCTCCGTTTCGTCATTTAAAAAGGTTCCTGTCGCCAAATTGTCTCCTCCAGTCTTTTCACAACGGTCAAGAATTTGTCTACCAATAGTTACTTTGCTTTTATCCGCGTGCGACGGACGCTTTGTTCAAGAGACTGAGAATAAATTGATGCTATTATAATAAATAGCTAAATATAATACTGTGAAATGCAATAGGCTGATGCTAAGAAATGACCAGCTTTGAGGAAAATGGTAATAATTCGCTTTCATATGGCTGAAAGGTAATCCTTTGCACATCGCTCACATGATGTGACAAAGGGATACAAAATGCATCCGGAGCTTCCTGTGAAACCTGACCATAAGTTA